AGTCATTGATGTTTGTTCCCTATAAAACCTAATGCCCTTCTCGCACGCTATCCCCACAGCAGCGTATTATCAAATCCACATTACCGTGATATGGGATATGGCGGCAGAAGTAGCGAGATGGATATTAAGATCCGGTCAATGTCAATACTTGGATCTTACTTTTCGCTTGTTAAAAAAAATTATCTTACTTTGCCCACTGAGGACCCCAGTATACGTTGAAGGAGCCAAGAAGTAATTTATCTCACACTGTTAGGTCATATCAATTCGTGACCCTCACGAAAGGCAAAAAGACTTTTCATCATTAGAAGCCATCCAAAGTAGACGAAATTCATCCAAAACCTTCTGTCATATCCGTCTATATTCAATGATCTAGGTTCGTTAGATTCAGTGAATCTCGTGGACTAAAGCTAAACGGCGATATTTGGAGATTCGCCCATGACGTGTAAGCTTTACACCTCGAATTATTCGCCAAACCAAGGAAGATCTTGCTGAATGTTGGTTTGTTTAATATATGAGTTCAATCCTGATTTAGACGAAACTCAATATCATTGAGTCTAGGTCAGCCGACTTGAAGTTTATGGCGATTGATACGAGCACGAACCTTTTACCTGCGGTTGATTCAAGTAATAAAATAGTCCTGAATCAAGATAATAGCAGCATATTCTGTATTTAATACACCTAATTCGAAGATTTTCGGAAATCACTTCCCATGTCTTTAGCTTCCTTAGGAAAATAGATGTCTCAATCGGGTAGGACGAACCATCGTAAGCTAAAGTTAGACCTGCATATGGAGAAACCCAAACCCTGGGCATATATCTCTGAGCACTGGGTACATGAACTATACTGCCATCTCAAATGGGGTATGGGGTTTAAGGGTCAAGTATCTTGACCTTATCAGAGGAAGAGCATAGAGGTGAATACCGCAACTGGATGAGGCATACTTACAAGCACCTTTTTCCTATGAAGACAAACATTCAGTAACGCAGGAGGCATATTGGAATGATTTGTATAATTACGGATAAGTGTCGCCGTCACATAGAAAGTCTGTTTCCCCTTACAGCCATCCTTTGTTCTCCTCGGCCCATTGTACTGTTGAACGGGAGCATTCGCCTCAGTTTTGCTCCACTAAAATTCTTGCCTGGGATCATCAACTTTCCCTGTTCTATGCTTTTCTAAAGGCTGCACGTCCAACCATGCGTTATTTACTATAGTAAAGGTTCAAGTTTCCAAATATGCCGGCTGGTGGCAACTCCAAGATAAGGCCCAGACTTAGACAGATCGTCATATCAACATCGCCATCCTGGTATAGTGTTGTCTGTCTACAAATTAACTCAATTTCCCTTGTAAAACTAGTGCATTGGATAAAAAGCAGTTTTTGGGATTGTAGCACTTGCTAGCTGTCGGAACCATGCATATTATCTGGCGCGACACGGCAGAAGAAGCCGACTATGAAGCCGCACGCCTCCGAGGGATATTCACTAAAGACATACCACCATATTACCCATTAGCTATCGTCCATGCCAGAACAACGAATGACGTAATAAAGACCATCAATCTAGCGAAACAGAAAAATTGCCAGGTGGCAGTGCGTGCCGGAGGACATTCGCATCCTGTCTGGAGCCTTCATCCGAACTCCATCTTGCTTGACCTGGGCTACTGGAAGGAGCTCGACATCGACAATGAGACGAAGATTGTTCGAGCAACCCCTGCTGTAACAAGTGGGGATATCAGTAAGTATTTGAATAAACGCGGCCTGTTCTTCACTGCTGCGCATCATCCGGATGTTGGTCTGGGTGGGTATATGCTACAGGGCGGTTCGGGATGGAATTATCGGGTAAGAGCTCAACCTTATCGTGTTTCCAATTTCCGCTAATGGATATAGAGGTTGGGCTGGGCCTGTGAGAGCCTTGAGGCAGTTGAAGTTGTGACTGCAAATGGCAAGCTTCTTCTTTGCAATCGTTTGCAAAACCAGGAACTCTACTGGGCGGCGAGGGGTGCAGGACCGGGTGGGTTACGCTTGTCACTAGTTGAGATCGTGGGCTCATTTCCTTTCTAGCTTTTCCAGGCGTCGTGACAAATTTTTACCTACAAGCATCACCTTTCCACGCAGAAGGTGTTCGCTCCTCCGGATACGTCTACCCTAGCCACCGGTATCGCGAGATCTTCACCTGGGCCCAGTCGATGGTATCTAAAACGTCTCCCGATATTGATATACTGCTGAGGGCCATGCATTCGGAGTCAGATGACGATATATGCTTAACAGTGCAATTCTTTGCGATGGAGAAGTCATGCTCCGACGCTGAACAGGCTCTTCGTATTGTCGATGAAGCACGGCCTTCGGGTGCCATTAGCGAATGGTTCTGTGAGAAAGACAGTCTCAAGAGCCAATTTGCAGCGATCAAGAAAAGTAGCCCGCCTGGATATTATTACGTCACCGATAATGTCTTATTAAATAACGACTGTGACGCTATATCTGTGCTTCAGGAAGCATTTTTGACGTTGCCACAAAGCAAGTCATGGGCTGGCTGGACGCCCAGGTATCCAAGCAGTGACCACGAGGTAGCCGGTATGGCAAAAGGGATACAGGCAAACCATTATTTTGTGATTCATCTAATCTGCGAGGATGCTGTCAGTGCCAAGCAGTATAAGCAGCGTCTGCAGGATATAATGCAGAGAATACGGCCAAGCATAGTTGGTCACTACTTGGGTGACTCAGATCTGAACCAGGATCCGAAGTGGTACTGGGGTGAAGAGAACAGTAAACGTCTGATGATAATTCGACACCACTGGGACCCGGATGGATTGTTCGCAGCTACGCATAATGGACCAATGTGAGATGAAGTGAGTGGACAGTGCGAGGGTTCTATTTGAGCTTATACAGACTATTTTGAACATAAAAGCAGAAGTAATTTCGTTGCGGTCACCCACTAGCCTACTGCTCTAAGCGCGGATAGAAGTAGGGTAGCTGCAGCACCGGTCGAGCCAGTGGGTACGGGCTGGGAGTACCAAAGATCAGTGGGCACTCCGGCGGAGGGATTGTATATGAAATCGATCATAAACCCTGCACAAGATCTTATCATTATATAATAGTGCTTTGGTCTCTTTTCACGAGTGATTGTCAGGTATCTCGTACCTATTGAAGGGGTGCCATTGATTCCTCAATTCCAGGAGCAATGGTATCCTGCACGTTCAACTCTTCAATATCAAATAATATGAGTGCCCATGGCGCTCAAAGGTTTGCCCTGATAGATCCACAATATGAAGAGAATGATTTACATTAAGTAAAACCTGAAATTTGCCGATTACACACAATGTCCGCGGGATAAGCAAGATGGCCGGTGCACCCACCCGCCACCGCCGGCCTACCCACCCTGCCGGCGTGATTTCAAAGCAACAACTTTGAAAATGTCAAGAACGACATATAAATTGAGTAGTAATAGGTAAATTGTCCACACAAAAACACGCATTATTCTGCATTCTGTGGAGAGCTAAACCCCTTGTCTAGAAGCTAGATCGATATGGTTAAAACTCGCCAATGGGTCCTTCAAAAAAGGGCGACGGACCTACCCTTTCTTCACGGACCTAACGCTACTTTCGCACTCATTGAAGCCGATTCCGGTGCACCACAGAATGGCGAGGTTCTTATCAAAACGCTGTATTTCTCAAACGACCCTTCTCAGCGTGGCTGGATCGATGCCAATACAGAAAAAGAACGCCTTTATGTTCCCCAGCTTCCCGAAGGAGAGCCTATGCGAGCATTTGCCATTGCAGAAATTGTCGAAACCAAGGCCGACACCCTAAGAAAAGGCGACGTGGTCCGGGCGTGGACCAGGTGGTCGGAGTATGCGGTAGTGGACGCGCAACTGTGCACCAAACTCCCGCGACTGCCTAGCGAACTTAGCGTAACACATCATCTTGGTGCTCTTGGGATTACAGGCCTAACGGCCTACTTTGGAATCAATGACATCGCCCAAGCGACCAAAGATGATATAGTCGTCGTGTCTGGTGCGGCAGGTGCAACCGGAAGCATGGTTGTGCAGCTTGCCAAAAAGGTCATTGGCTGCAAAATAGTCATTGGCATAGCAGGGTCCGATTCGAAGTGCAGATGGGTGGAATCTCTGGGCGCAGATATCTGCTTAAACTACAGATCACCAACCTTTGCTCAGAATCTGGTGAAGGAGACACCGGACTTTGTCAATGTTTACTTTGACAATGTTGGTGGAGATATTCTGGATCTGATGCTCACTCGCATGGCTCGATTTGGCCGCATCGCAGCATGTGGCGCAATTGCCAACTACAACAAATCCGACAATGACAGCATCGGCATCAAAAATTGGTTTGAAATTGTCAGTATGACGGTTACTATTAAAGGTTTCCGCGTAATGGATTATGCGGCCTGCTTTGAGCAGGCTCTTCAGGTACTCCTGAAGGCTCTGGAGGATGGGAAGCTCAAGATCGATTCCGAGGTAGAACAGGTGATTGAGGGCCGTTTTGAGGATATCCCAGGGATTTGGATGAAGCTTTTCACGGGAGCCAACCAAGGGAAATTGATCACTAAATTTTAGGTTCCCACCTAGCTACGAGTATTATTAGCTATAAAATATATCTACTGAGTTCCACAATCATATAATATCTACAAGTAGTATTTTCTGTTAGCTTTAATTTGTGCGAATTTTGGATGTGGCACTCAGAAGACTAAGTGTTAGAATCTCCATCAGACCACCCCCCTTTCTAATGACGTATCGTCGGATAAAGTACCGGTGGCTGATATTGGGCGTCACGATGCCCCGACTCGAGAAGCTCGGCTCTCGTTCATGATTGTCGCGCATGACTTTGTCAGCCACACTCGCAATAGGAACAAAACTACTAACCGAACCAAAAACTACTTCGGAAATTTTTGTAATAACGCACGATCTGAATTTGATCTTTGGAAGTCAAGTCGAGAGTTAAGAAGGTGAATGCCAATTAGAAAGGAACCTCGAAAAGCAGCCATCGGCTTGTTACATGAAACCAACATAATCCGTCTCCCTCATGTAGCGTTCAATATCCATGAGTTTGTCCATCTCCACTCCCGCTTCTTGGGGTTCCTTAACCTTTGGATCACCACCTGCCCACCCATACTTTGAGACATACTGCTTGCTATCGTACATTTCTCTCGCCAACCAATCAGGGACTCCAGTAGAATCGAACTCTTTGTCCACTTGCACCACAAGTCTAACTCCTTTGACCTCAGCCCATAGCTTCCAGTAATCCTGGTAACGCATGAGTCGGCTGCATCCCAGAATCGCAGTGCCGGGTGGGGCGCGTATGAGAGCTTTAACGAAGTAGCCCGTATCGTGCTGAGCATGGACCCAAGGGATTGGGTGGTCACCATAGTCTGCAGTGACATGCAGGACATAAGTATCATCTGATTGCTTCTCCGGTCTCTGCATCGGGTTCCACCAGTTACTGAGATAGACTCCAATATGAAAATAGCTCGTCTTCGCTGCTAGAGCTGGGTATGTTTGCTGCATGTACTCGGTGTACTGAGCTTTGCCATCGAAGTGGAGGTTCCAGAGGATTTCACCATTACTCCACTTCTTGCTGTTGCTCAGGATGGACAACACGAGTCGGTCTAGAGTTGACACATGCTTGGCGGCAGCGGTGACGATGTTCTTCCCTTGCTGGACTTCGCGCTCAAAGGCGATCTCATTGACTTGCTTCCCCCTTGTTTTGGCTTCGGCGATTACCTGTGGGTCTTTGATGAACTGCCTGTATTGAGAATAAAACTGTCAGTAATCTTCGAAGCATATAATAATACGGTTTCAGCCTCGTACCAAAAGTCAGTGGTTCCAAAGATAGCGTTAGCTCCATTAAAAGCCCTGTCTAGGGAGTCCACGTCGTCGTAATCGCCGGCCACGAGCTCAATCCCAGCCTCGCGCAGAGAGGCATTAGCAGGCTTATCCGGATGGCGAGTAATGCCCCGAACGCGCCAGTTTGGGTCTTGGGCGAACAAACGAGCAACGGAGCCGCCCTGAACGCCGGTGACACCAGTAACGACTATCAACTTGGTAGACATGGGAAGAGGTGAAAGAGTAATTGATGAGTTGAATAGATGTTCTGCAGGCTTAGAGTACGACAGTCTTATGTTTCTGTGATATTATAGTCACCATATGTAATCCAGTGGTATCATACAACAAAATCTCTCCACATTGTTAATCATTCTTAATCATTCTTAATCAGCTGGGTCGACTGCCGAGGCAAGCGAGCTCCACAGAGAGAGTGAGGGGGACTCTCCGGTGGGCGTTGCGGTGGGCTCACCGATCAGTGCATATGCTCTAGAAATAAGTTGCATATCTGAATGCACAATAACCTGGGATTTTCAACCACATAAAACCTGACATTAGTAACCAACCGCTGCCAGCTGGAATCTAATAAGTTTAGTGCTGGTAGCTTACGTAATATGGCAAGGCCTAATATCACAATTTCTACTATGCCAAGCATTCCAGTGCAGTATTGGAATCAGATAGCTGGCCTGAGGTAAGCACGGCCTGAGTTGCTTTCTCAGCATTGATACATGTCGACCAGTTAGTGATACACTTCGGCAACATCTGCGGGCAATGTTTGGTGTACAGGATCACGACCTCGAGATTTTCGCATTTTAAGACTGGGCCCACCCCTAAACATAATGGATATCCGTCTCGCCAATGTCAGAGTGGACTGGGCAAAACCAATTGACAGCATCTGGGCACTATTATTTATTTTAGGACACACATAATAAGCAATTAAAAGTAGGATGAGTAGGGGTTTAAGTGGTACTGGTGCGATACTAAAACAGACGGTTGTTGAGAGTTAGACAGCCCTGGGACCTGGATGGACTTTTTGCAGCCACGCATAACGACCTGACATACGTTTGGAGTATACAGAAAGGTAACATTTGATTTCAGAGCATAAAAGAGAGGCATAAAAACATACAACAGAAGGGATTCGCTGGTGGTCACCCACCCAACTACTAACCTCCCGGCGTGTGGCTTAAGTACGGCTGAGCGGACGGGAAGCCCTGTTTTCCACACCCTGTGGTCGTATGTACTAGAAATATTAGTGGAAAGATTTATCTGATGTCTTTCCATAAAAGTTGTTGCTCGTTGCTGCGATTTGGATCTTGCCCCTTGAGGGTTCATCTTCAGAGGCAGCTCACATGGGTAGGATTTCCGCATCGGCCACAACCTCTCCAGTATGTGGGTGTTCCGACACTTAACCTCAAACAAATTTTGATGTACAGCTCCAATGGCTATTTTTACATCATCTTCACTGATTTAAATATACCTGATCCTCCTGATTAATCCAAGTCATAACACTCAGGTAATATTGGCGATGTAGGCACAGTACTGTCTAAGTTGGGAGAGAACTTATATATTTTGGAGCTTTGCATCCTAGGTTATAGCCACACATGAAGGCACGCCAACCAAGTACTCTGTATAGAGAAATCTCTAGCATCACTCTTCTGTTAGCTTTTCTATCGTCTATTTAACCGGAATTATGTAAGAGTACGATTAACGGCACAACATAGTAAAGGATTATTGTCTTGTAATCTTCCCAGTCGCGGTTAAGTCACCAAGATCAGCAGTACTAATCACACAATCTTACGCTTTCACAACAGATATGTTTGACAGTATTCAAAAGTTTCATATTATACAACACAAGAACTAAGTTTCATATCGTACAAAGAGTGATTATATCCCCGACTTACTCACAATAAGCTCAGCCACCGCCCCCAACGTACCCGTAGACAAAAGCTCTAAAACCTGCACATTAGCCCTCGCCTCACGTGCAATCCAGCTCCGAAGCTCAATAGCAACCAGCGAGTCAAGACCCAGTGCAGACACAGAAAGCGATGGCTCGATGTCCTCTGGGTTCAAGACCAGTACCTGAGCCAGCTTGGCCGCCAAAGCTTCGTAGCAGACCCGCACTTTCTCTTCCTTGGAGGCAGCATTGGTGAGTTGCACGTGGAGGGGTTGAGAAATTCCCTCATCGGTTACATCTTCCTCACCTCCGCGGGTCTTGGGGGTCAGGAGCTCAAATTTGGCGTCTTGCGGCCAGAGGGGTTGTCGTGTCGAAGACGCCAATCCGGTAATTGCCTGATGGGCAAGGTCTCCCGTCACAACCGCAGCGAGCAGGGCCAACACTTCCGACTCGGTCATGCCCTCCGTGCCGATGGTGCGGAGGACCTCTTCTCGGCGCGCGGCGTCTACCGTGGAGAGGTAGCCTGCGTCCCTAACCGCCGTAAGGGCAAGGCTTGTACCGGGGAGACCTTGGCTGCGGCGCCATTCCATGAAGCCGTCTAGGAATACGTTGGCGGCGGCGTAGGCCGCTTGTCCCTTGTTACCGACTACACCAGAGACAGAGGAGAGGGCAACGAAGAAGTCAAGGGGGTGGGAGATAAGGGCGTGGTGGAGGTTCCAGGCTCCCGTGACTTTGCTGTCCGTCACTGCCTGGAAATCCGCGAAGTGCATGTTCTCGAAGATCATATCCTAGAAAATGTCAATTTGATTTTGAAGAAATCTTGGTAAGAGAAGCCTTACCCGTAGAACCATTGCACCGTGGATGACGCCGCGAATTGGAGGAAGGTTTTCCAGGTCCTTCAGCATGGCGTCGACGGACGTGCGATTGCTCACGTCGCAAGCCTTCACCACAATGTTTGTGCCGCTGGGACGCAGAGCATCTATTAATGTCTGTACAGGGATGTCGACAATGCCGCGTCGGGACGCAAGCACAATATTGCGAGCGCCCTTTTGTGACATCCACCTCGCTATGCTTCGGCCGAGACCACCAGTACCCCCAATAACAACGTACGTGGCATCTGCCATGAGGATATCATCGCGTGTCTTAGCGACCACAGCTCTGACCTGATCGCCTTGTCTCGGGACTACCACAGTTTTACCCATCGACTTTCCAGTCTGCAAAGCCCGGAAGGCGCCTTCAATCTCAGCGATAGGGCAGACGGACAGAGGAAAGACGGAGCGAATGAAGCCCTTGTCCAGAAGCCAAGAAACCTTATCCAGCAACTGATGCATCAACCGAGGCCTGTAAGCAGCGACCTTAGTAAGATCGACTGAGTGGAACGAGAGGTTGTTCTCGAAAGGTAGCATGTCCAGGCGCGTATTCTTGGTGATGTCCGCCTTGCCGATCTCAATGAATCGGCCAAACGGTGCGAGACACTCCCAGCTTTCGCGGAGAAGATCCCCAGCGAGGGAGTTGAGTACTATATCGACCCCGCCGCATGTGAGCTCGCGAATGCTGCGGCCAAAGGACGCATCACGACTGTAGAAGATGTGGTCTGCACGGAGACCGTACTTCGAGATAAGGAGGCTCTTCTTCTCGGCGCTTCCAACGGTTGCGTAGATCTCGGCTGAGGCAATTTGGGCCAGCATAATGGCTGCCTGCCCAACACCACCGGCAGCGGCGTGGATGAGAACCTTCTCGCCGACTCCGTGTTGGAGACGGGCAAGCTCATAAAGGGCATAGTAAGCAGTGCAGAAGACGACAGGTACGCTGGCGGCAACCTCGAACGAAAGGTTTTCGGGGATGGCAGTCGCGCTGGTTGCCTTGCAGCGGGCGAAGGTAGAGTATGCGCCAAGAGGCAGAGCCATAACTCGCTCGCCAATCATCAAATTGGTAACCTTCTTGCCAACAGATGTGACGACGCCACTGCACTCAATACCAATGTAAGGCTGGGTGAGTTGTCCCATGGTGACAGCAACATCCTTGAAGTTGAGACCGGTAGCATGGACCTCGATTTCAATTTCATCGTCAGCCAGGGCTTTGACATCATCATCTGTAAAGTAAAGGGTATCGAGAGCGCTGTGGCTTCCTATTTCAAGCTTGAAGCGGCGGCCGGGTTGAACGAATGGTTGTGTTTCAAGAGTGAGATCGTCACTGGTCTCCTTCCCCACGAAGGCATCAAGAGCGTTATCGTTTATGATACGAGGGACCATAAGCTCGCCATTCTTGGTCTTAAACTCGAAGTCCGTACAGGGACTGAAAGATTCCTCGGTCGGCCACAGGGCCTTCATAGCAGCCAAGATAGGGCCAGCTGGCCTCTCCAGATCTTCAGCGCTCAGTCCAAGGGTGGCAACCTTGGCATCAGTTTCGGAACGCAAGCTACGGATGAGGCCAACGATCATCTGGGAATCAGGAGTGTCGTCGCGGTAGACCCAAATAAGGTTTGTTGAGCTGAGAAGAATCTGCTGAACGTTGGCAAAGTCTGCCTCAGTAAGATCACGCAGGGTTTCGACTGCAGTCTGCAGGATAATAACATGCTGCAGTTTCTGCTTCGCGTTACAGTCACTCAATGACGAGATGGATGTTGACCAGCGAATGGCTTTGGTGGAGATGACCTCTTGCACTTGCTCGGCTGCAAGTGCGCAGTCGCCAAATTTGACAATAAGGATATCGTCTTGGGGTTTGTTATGGTGGCAGTGGATTCCATGTCCGTATCCATTGACGTGTTCAATGGCGTGTGGTTTGCTATGGCCATTGGGTTGTTTTGTCTGGATCGCTTCTCCAGTAGTCACTTGTTCGACTTTACTCAAGGGCTTCCACTGCAGCTGATAGCATAGGTCCCGGGCCACCTTGTTATCGCATCCAGTATCGTTGATTGGGGTCATTACCAACCCCTCCATATTGATCAAAACCTCACTAGAGTCTGCAGGAGTCATCCATAAGTCGAACTTGGTAGGTTCAGGCCTGGCCCGGCCGGAACCTCCCATACACCTGGCCGGAAAGTGGTGACCGGTAGAAGGAATGTTTCCATCAATGACAAGAGACTTTATGACGGTTGGCACGTACAGAGTCTCCAGGTCCATCCGACCCTTACCAAGAATGGGCCAGGTCAGGTGCAAAAGAGTGTCCAAAAGAGTGGGGTGGATGACAACGGGAGCTTCGTAGTGTTTCGGCATGAGCGACTTGGTATCGCAAACATACAGGTCCGCACGCGAGTGATGAGGCCCGGAGAAGCAGTTTCGAAACCCTTGAAATGCCATACCATAAGTGGCGCCGACGTCGCTTAGAACTTTGTACATGTTCTCGGTATCAATTTCATATGTCGCCGCCTCCAACACCTCACTACTCTTCTTCGCAAAAGCCCTCTCTGCCTTGTCGACAACGTCAACGACCGGGTTATGCTTCCGGTACTTTTTGTTGGGGTTAACCTTGACAAGACCCGTACAGTGGTCAATCCAGTGCCGCTTGGAGTTCCAAGAGCGAATGTGGAATTCATCCCACGCATTCGAAGCACCTCGCGTGCCTTCAGCGTAAGGCCGGAGGGTAATGGTGATCTCGGTATCGAGGTCGTCAGTCAAGACCAGGGCAGCACCCACGCTCACTTCCCGCAGTTCGAACTGCGACTCGGCGGCCACCGTACTATACTTCTGTGCACGCGTCCGAGCGGCCTCGATCGCCATACTGATGTAACCAGCAATTGGATACACAATCATACCCTGCATTCTATGGTCTCGGAGCCACGGTATGTCGTCGAGGCGGACAATATTCCTCCATGTTGGCTCCAGGTCATTGGAGTAGAATGCTTCGGTACCCAGTATGTCGTTTCTCTGTCCATCACGGAATCTATGCTTCTCGCTGATACGGCTATGGTGCCAGAAGACTGTGTCATGTTGCCACGGGTACCGAGGTAGATCATCGAGGACATTGCACGTTCCAGTGCCACTGAAGGGAAAGTTGATTTCGTTGATGTTGAGAGTTCCGCCACGTACATAAACGGCACCCGCGGCGTCGAGGAGAGATTGGGAAGGATCAACCTTCCGAACCACCGTCGGCACATATGCGACTTCAGAAGCAACCGATGACCCCAGGGCCTTTAATGTATCAAGAATTGGTCCTTTGAGAGCGGAATGGGGCCCAACCTCCACCATAAGGTTGGGTTTGCTCCCGACACCGCACATTTTGCCAAGAGCATTGGCAAAGAGCACCGGAGACGTCAAGTTCTGGACCCAATAGCTTGGGCTAAGGTCGGTAGGATCGCTTACATCACCAACTACGGACGAAAAGAAGGTGGCAGTGGCGGCGCCCGAGGGCTGCACTGATGCGATGGCGGAAAAATAGGCCTCGCTGACCTTTTTCATGTGATCAGAGTGGTAAGCCACATCAATGATGAGGCGACGGTTGAAAATCTTCTTCTCTTCGAGAATGCCCTGCAGCTCCTCAATAGCCGGTACATCACCAGATATGGTGACACTGGATGGACTGTTGACGCATGCCACAGTAGCATAACCAGAGTAGAGGGTCTTCAGCATTGGCTGGATGGCTTCCACGCTGGTTCCAACGGCCATCATGGTACCCTTCAGGTCTGGATATTGGCTTTTCAACAACTCTGTCATTTGGCCACGGCGGTACGCAAGGGTCAGAGCACCCTCTAGGTCAAAGATTCCGGCCGCATACGCCGCAGCAATTTCACCGGAACTATGGCCAACTACCGAGACCGGTTGAATTCCCCAGGAGCGAAGCAAGTCCACAAGGGCAATTTGCAGCGCAGTGCAGGCCGGTTGACTGATGTAGGGCATATTAACCCTTGAATTTGTATCGGTTTGCAGCAACTCCTCGCGGAGAGAAAATTCTGCGCCCAATCCTTCAGACAGGTGTTTGTCGGCGCGGTGGATCGCCGCTGCGAAAACGGGGAATTCATCCATGAGTGGCATACCCATCTGAGCCCACTGAGCTCCCTGGCCGGTGAAGACAAATGAAACAGAAGGTCCGTCACCTCCAATAGCGCGGACAGGGTTGATCTTCATCTGCGCCAGTTGGACACCGGCATCGTCGAGTGATGTAGCGGACAGGGCAATTCGGTATGGCAGGTGAGACCGTTTGCTCCCAACTGTGTATGCAAAGTTGCCGAACAAAGTATTCTCGAAGACTTCAGGGCGTTGCTCGAAGTAAATGCAGTATTCCTTGCATCTGGTGCGGAGGGCATCTCGGTCGTGTGCGGAGATCAAGAGCAACCGGCGTTTGCCCTCTTTGTCTTTAGTGCTAGTCACTTCTTCCTGCGGCACCTGTGATGGTGCTTTTTGTAAGACGACGTGTGCGTTTGTACCACCGAAACCGTAGTTGGAAACACTGATATATCGTTTGCCGCGGGGCCAAGGACGCGTCCTGTTGACGACTTTCATATGCCACTCTGCAAAAGGAATCTTGGGATTAGGATTTTTGTATCCGGCGTTGGGGAGGATAAGTTCTCTCTCGAGCATCATGGCAGACTTGATAACTGATATGATGCCACTGGCACCTTCTAGATGGCCGACGTTCGTCTTGACTGATCCGATGTAGAGCGGGTTTCTCGCGTTGCGCCCCTTTCCGAACACTGCTTGGATCGCGGTTGCTTCTATTGGATCACCGACAGCGGTTCCTAGACGATACTTATGTTAGCTATGGACCCAGTGAACGACGGTCTCGTGCATCTACAACCTGTGCCGTGGGCTTCAACAAAGCCACAGTCAGCCGGGTTCAAGTTTGCTTCCTTGTATACCCGCCTAATCAATTCTTCTTGTGCCACACCATTGGGACATGTAATTCCCCTCGTCTTGCCGTCCTGGTTAACTCCTGAGTGGGCAATCAAAGCCCGGATGGGATCGCGATTACGCAAAGCTGCGGAGAGGCTCTTCAGCATAATTATACCTGCGCCTTCACCCCGCGCAAAGCCCGAGTTTCCTCTCTCCTCAAATGCGAATGATTTCCCTTCGTCGTTTAGCAACCTGTCGCAATCTGGAGGTCAGAATCATGCAAACCATCACCAATGATTATCGGGCTTCAAAAGGTAGTTACTCACTGTTGCATCGACATCGTAATGGAGTTCTCGGGGGTCAAAAGCAGATGGCAACCACCGACAAGCGCCTCGGTGCACTCTCCGCTCCGCAAACTTTGTACAGCGGAGTGCAAGGCCACAAGGGAAGACGAACAAGCGGTGTCGACCGTCAAACTAGGACCCTTCAGGTCAAACATGTAGGAAATTCGGTTCGACTGGAGGGCAGGGTATCCTCCAGTGGCCTGGAACATTGGGGCCGTCTCCGTATCGCGGATATTGTTCGTCTCGTAGTCGGGCCAGTTTGCTCCAATAAAAACCCCGATGCTACGTCCGGCCATGTATTCTCGCGAAATCCCGGCGCTTTCCATGGCTTCGTATGTACATTCTAGCAGGAAGCGCTGCTGTGGGTCCATAGATATGGCCTCCTGGGCACTGACATTGAAGAAAGGTGCGTCGAACCGGGAAATATCACCGAGAAAGTAGCCACCAGCCTGATTGCTGGTACCCGGTTTCGAAGCATTCGGGTGGTGAAAGGCCTCAACAGACCAGCGGTCCTTGGGTATGGGCGTCCAGCCGCTGCGCCCTCTTGTGCAGAGCTCCCATAGATCACTCGGCGACGAGACCTGACCAGGAAGTCGGCAGGAGTATCCAATAATTGCAATTGGCTCCAGAGCCTGTGTTTCCGTCGGAGGTGGTGACCCATCCATGTCTACTGTGTCACAAGCTGGAGACATGATGGTTGTAACAAGTCAGTTGTGACAGAGAGATTGAACTGTTAAGAATTACAAAGGAGGGGGATGCAAGAGGCAGAGAGGGGGGTGTGCAAAAACAAGCAAATATGCAAGGGATGTAGTAATAGCGAACAGATGGATGCAGTGCCTGGCTGACGGCAAACACCTCGCGACAGGCTCATTAATCAGAGTAGATCATCGAGCGCACTGCATGGGATGTCTAGGGGCCGAGAGAAATACGTAGGCCCGTAAACCTACTCAAGAGCCATCGACGATGGTGTGGAAGACAGTGGTAGTAGTGTGACGCCACTGAGGCATCGGAACGTGGAGGAAGACCAACGGCACGCAGCGAATATCTTCTGTGTAGCGTTTCTTTCAGCATTCTTCTTTGTTATTTGGTCAACTGATGAATCCAATTGGCTAGATATCCTGTTTCATGCTTGTGTATGCAATGTGTGCTTATTGGGATACATCAACCGACTCTGTCACGATATGATGCATGGGCCTAATGCATCATGTCGAGTAACTCGGAGACACTACCCTAATTGCCAATGACTTCCCAGTTTAGGGGTCAGCACACCTTCCCCACATTCTCTGGCGAGCAGATAAGTATGCCAGCTCTCAACAATTGATTCTTCTCTTTTTGCTTGTCTTCTTACATCCCATCTATGAATAGTATAACCAATCATCCCAAACACTTCTGACATGCATTTCCTCTGCCTTCACGGCGCCATCGGCAACACCGAGGTGAGTGTTCATTATTTGGCAACGTCATACTAAGCGAATGGGTTATAATTCTGACAAGGACAGACTATCACTATTCAGTTAGGTACTTGCAGTCCTTAATCTACAAATTGTCCTTGCGACTTGTTATCTTATTAACGACAAGCAACTTACAGCACCACTATTGAAGGAGTTAAACACCGACAGTTCAGCAACAACCTTTCACTATCTCAACGGTCCTCTCCTGGTTTCCCCTCCCCCGGGATTCGAGGCGTATTTCGGTGTGGGACCGCATTACCGGTGGATTGATGACGGCCAAAAGCCCGGAAAGTCCACGATTCGGCGCGTCCGGGACCTGCCAACTAGCGAGAACAATGATGATGCCATGAGGGAGGTCTTAGGGGATGTACACTGTCGAAACTATGCGGATCTCATGGATTACATTGAGGGTGTCCTGGAGAAGAACCCAGAAATCGGCGGGATGATCGCCTACAGCGAAGGAGCTGCGGCAGCTGCGACGTATATTCTCGATGAACAACGTCGACATCGCGAAGACGGCCGCGAGCGCCAAATCAAGTGTGCCATGTTCGTTGGAGGCTGGCCGGCCATGAGGCGAGACACGAAGGGGTTCATCCTTGCAGATGACGGCGGGGATGAAATGATCGACATTCCCACGCTTCATGTCCTAGGGGCGAACGGTAGCGACAATCCTTTCTCTCATTTACTCTGATTTTTCAATTTCAGGTTTCAGCTAACTTTATTTATCATTCAGACCCTTACCGATATGGCTCGGAAGCACTCTTTGAAACCTGCGATCCTGATGCAGCAGAGTTCTTTGATATGGGCAAAGGCCATACTCTTCCACGGTCGGGGTTGGTGATCAGTGAATTAGCGCAGTCAGTGCGGGACTTAATTAAAACGACGGAGTAGTCGAAGGGATAACTTAAGTAAGGGGTTGGGAATTTGTATTTCTATCTAAGTTTCTACCCCTTGCGTGTATATGACCACTGTGATGGGCCCGATCTGCTGGTGAGAAACGTGATCTAGCTCGTATATAATTGACTTCGAGACGTGCAGCCCGAGGAAGGGGTACACGCGTATGATGAAGGCTGTAGAATCGTATTTGCACCGACTGCGCTTTTAGTGGCAGACACCCCCACCCAGGAACTTTCTTCTCCATCTACAGAAAAATGCGATTTCTATGCCTCCACGGCTCCATAACCAGTGCTGATGTAAGTCGTAATTTTCTCTGCGAAGAAGACTGTACGCCACTGTACTGATATCAAGTCGCAGACACTCAGTGCTCAGTTAGGTATGAGAATAATTGCTACCAGGGAGGTTCTCAACCGCTAACTCATGTGTGACTAGGCCCTTTGCAGCAAAACCTGGCGGCCGATAATACCGCTTCCTTTTATTGCGTGAATGCGCCACATGCCACAACTGCCCCTGGAGGTGCGACATAAGTTCTCCACATCAATCTATGAATCGACTGAGGTATGGCTGACAGAGCCCAGGCTACATAGAATATTTTGGTCACCCACCCCACTACCGCTGGCTTAATTACGTTGGCGTTGGCATTGATGCCATCTACGACACTGTCCGCGGGGCGCGAAGCAAACAACATGCTACTCCGGAGGATGCCTTTCGATCGCTTATACCTCCTGAGCTTTCCTGGGTCAATTATGAAGATGTTCTGAGATATATTGAAGAGACACTGGAGAAGAATCCCGATATTGAGGGTCTCCTGGGATACAGTGAAGGGGCGACTGTTGGTGCGGCATATATCTTGCGCGAACAGATGAGGGAGCAGGAGACCGGCCGCACGCGGCAGATTAAGTGCGCGATCTTTCTCGCTGGGATCCCCCCAGTCAAAGCGGAGAATGGATTTATATTTGCCGATGAACAAGAGGAGATGATCGATATCCCCACTGTCCATATCGTTGGCGCAAATGGTGTGTTTTCTTGTGATATATGGGCATGTTTGACCGTTGGCTAATGGCTCGCTTTTGCACGACTAGACCCTTTTAGGATAGCCGCGGACTGTCTATACAACATTTGTGATCCTGATAGCGCTTACTTCTTTGATACTGGCAAGGGACATACCATACCACGTGGAGGGCCAGTGATCGATGAGTTGGGAGATACAATTCGAGAATTGGTTCAGAGGACAAAGGAAGGGTGATAAGTAGATATACAAATTCCGTTTGGAACATATTCATACAATTGAGAATCTATGCCAAATTAAGCGATGATGATCAGAGACGCCAATCACAGGATGTCCTTAAACAGAACTGAAAATATATGAGGCCACCATACATTAGTCCTAACCCTTTAGTTATGATAGCCAAAGACCCTTAGCAAAACTTGACCTCCTACTCTAGCATAGTAGTATCTGTAGGGGTTTTCTCCTATACTTAACTATATGGCGCTTCAAATGGTGGGAAAAAAAAAAGATCGGGGGAGAGGGGGCTGCTTATAACAAGGCAATATATTCAACATCTTTTCCTTTCTGGACGATACGATGTTTCCTAGACATGAGGTGGTTTATTAAGATATCTCGGAAATTTTTGCACGTTTTAGGCTATATGACCTATCAAAGAGGCGACTTAGATAAATAGGTGGAGGTTGTGGCCATGTGCGAGGAAAATATTGACACTTTGATCCTTTGGTACATCTATGATCAGAAATTCCTAGTGACATGCATACGAACATGGAAAGTTGTTCGGGAGCCAACTGCCACGTTAGTGTAGGGCGAAAAAGAAGAAAAAGAAAAAAAAAAAGAGAAAAAAAAGAAAAAAGATTGAAAAAAGATTGAAAAAGAAACGTCTTCTCTCCTCTAATTCAACCAATTGGCCCAGCGTACGAATAAGGGTTGCTTACACTGTCGATCGCTGTTCATTATAGATTTAGCGCAAGCGCCATAATGACCCCTATAAAAGAGCCATTCCGTTTACAGTACAGCTTGACTCACAAGGCGTTGGTCCCACAACCAATGAGCGACTGATTGAACACTCACGCATAGCCGCCTAAGATTCATATATATTATCTACTATGTAGTATATTTTGCATGTACAGCTAATAGACGTTAAAGATCATGGCTCAGCCTGCACTAAACCTAAAATCGGACGTTCCATGGATGTTATCAGCAGCCAGGGCTGAAGCTCGGAGGGATTGGAGGCGTAAGCACTAGCGCGAGCTAATCATGACTCGCCCAAAAATTGGCTTGGGCAACACAACATTTAGCGTGTAACGTGGGCCTCGTGTTAATTTTACGCTCCCTATCGTGACCCCTAATACATATTGGTGGCCGCTTATTATATTGTCCGTTGTAAGTGTCTAGTGTCTATTGGCTAAAATGAACACCCCCTGGCCAAAACTTGTACCTCCACCCCTGTCTGTTCGGATAGCGATGGTTGTTCGCTCGCCTTTTTGTGCGCCGAAGCGGTTTAACTAATAAACTGCTGGGAAAATCTCGTAGCCGTCCAATCACACATGTGACTTAAAATTATTTAGCTTGGTTAACCATTCTTATGCGGCCTTCACGTACCTGCATGACTAAGACGAAATGATCTGGCCGAAGTAAATAAAGATTTCAAGACCCTGACCAGACAAGTGCTAAGAATATCATTGAGTTTGATATACGGACATAGGCATTTTGCTACCTCTCAATATCTTGTATCTGCACCGATAGGGTAGAATTTGGCCAAGTGGCGGTCGGACCTCTGTACATGACAAACCTTACAATATAAGAAGCAGCATATCACGGCTAATATACTGCCAGGAATATAAAAGGACATTGTGCAGTTTGGGGCTGAATATTTACTTGTCCATGGTAAGGGGGTGTAGCAGGTCTCAGGTTTGTTAGGTGGCGTCGACCAGGATCCGAGAAAAGGATCACACGAAAAAGCCATTGAGGCCATGCACAGAGTCTCATAATTACACTATAGTGCTTGATATTATTATAAGTATCGTTAATATTATCCCGGTTTCAACTCAGCTCGTATGGCCCCACCCGGCTTGCGGAGGTAGAGGGCATTTCGTGCACCATCCCCGTGACGCTTTCTGTCGGCAGCTCGGAAACCGTCCGCGCTCCCGGAGAGACACTTTGGTACTCCATGGCCTGAGGGCCTCGGGTTATCCGGCGGCGTAGGAAGAAGATCACTGCGGCTGCAATAGCACCAACGCCTACCACAGCGCCGATTACAGGGCCCGCAATCCACGCTTGGCTCTTTCCGGAAGAAGATGTGGATGTTGAAGACGGTGAAGCGGTCGAGGTTTGGGTCGCGGAAGAGGTTTTTGTGGCCATGGAGGTGATCGGTGCGGTGGTTGCACTGGCTGTGGAATCTATGAGGCAAAGTTCCAGTAAGACTTATTGCATCTAAGAGGCATTGTGGGATTGAATGTACCTGAGGTAGCTGATGTGGTTGAGGTTGTCGTTGCGGGCAGCTCTCGATAGATTGTGTACGCAGACCAAAAGTCAGCGCAGAAGAGGTTGTATGCGGATGGGGTAGCGTAGGGCTCGGATTGATAGATAGTCATGGTTTGGCATGACATAGACTCGGCACCGCTAGTCAGACACAAAGTCCAGTTGTGTATTAGCGACAGCCTGTCTCAACGTATAATATGATGTTTTCAGGCATACCAGTCCAGGGTTTTATTGTCGACATCGTAGTAAAGTATGTTCCCACTACACGCGGTAGCCCAGGAACAGGTGACAGAAGCGGTGCAGCCGGCTGCATATTGCCCGGAAGTCGACCAAGTGCCCGCATCAGTTAGGGCTTGGGCTGCAGTTGACGGTCAGGGTAAGCGATGATGTTCAGATCAAACAGAATAGCACCGAGGTGGCGAACAAGTACTGACTGGTCGTTCCAAGATACCATCCCATAAAATGTGGACTGTCCTGAATAGAAGTATTCAACGATGTGGTTGTCTGACCAAGACTTCCGGGGAGGGAGAGCAGCATCACCCAGGAGAGTACCTGCCATGCCGCAGGGACTTCAGGTATCAAGAGCCGCGCCATCATTTCACAAACACGACGATCCAACTTGACCCTAGGATACCCTCACCTCACATATGAAGGATGTGTCTGGGCCCAAACGTAGACTACCAGATATAACGGGTTATTCATTTTCCTGTGCGGAGATTGCGCTTATGTATTCGGTCCTTGTCCAGCATCGCTAAGAGGCACCACTAGTGTTCCAATGCCGACCAACAGAGCCTTAGCGCAGCGAAACCTCGCGTGGCCGTGATACAGCCACACTTTAATGCTCGAGCGACTCAAAGGTATGGCATTATGACTATTTAGCGAGGCTAAAGGCCTCCCAGGATTCTGACCAATTCAACTAGCGGTGGGCCGGTGCCTCTCAAGTAAATTAAAAAGCCTCGCGACACCTCTCCGGTGACACCCGGCACTAGCAAGACTAAGGATCTTTTTGCCCTCCAATCAAGACAAACCGTTGATGACCCTGGTGGGAGCACAAACTCAATTTCCCTGACTGTTAGCGCCCGCGCTAAGCCATCATGGAGCGATCCTCGAACCGTGGCAATGATAGTAATCCCACCTTGTTTTTAAACAGGTGGACGCTCTCCGCTGGGGCCTGGAGCGCCGAGATTATTTCTCATCTCTTCTCACTCAAACACTCATCCCCATGAAAGCTCCTCATCTCGCCCAGCATCGATGCTCCCTTCCACCCTAAAATCTTCGCGCTATGGGCGCTTTGTTATCTTGACGATCCCGCTGCTCGTATTCAGCTGCCTGCTCTTCTTGACGTGGGACCCACTGCCGGGCCGACTCCGTCAGCAATCCCAAGCCCCGACAACGTCACAGTCCGATCCAATATCTCAGGTACCACAACCAGTCGAGCCATCAAAAGAAGAGGCAGCGCACCCTGAACCACCAGTATCTACTAGCAATCCATCCACCTCGAAACCGATTGCTGACATCGCTGGCGGTGATGCTATCTTCGGTATTACCGACAAGCTTTGGCAATCCGCCAAGGATCCCCACCTGAGCGACGACCAAGACGAATGGATCAGCAGCTGGCTCGAAAAGAACCCATCCTTCCGATATGAGCTCTTGACTGATGCCTCTGCTGCAACCTTCGTTCGTACTCATTATGCCTCGCGACCAGATATTATCGAGGTCTTCGAGACTCTCCCGATCCCGATCCTGCGGGCGGATCTCCTGCGATACCTGCTCGTGCTCGCGGAGGGGGGTGTCTGGAGTGATCTGGACGTTACCTGCGATAAGCCCGTGGCTGATTGGGTTCCAACTGAATATAAGAATGCAAAGATCGAGATGATCGTGGGCTTGGAGTTCGATTTTGACTGGCGCGGAGAAGGAACGGAAGTCGCATCGCAGTTCTGCAACTGGGTCTTCGCGGCACCTCGCTCATCACGTATCCTCCAGGTGGTGGTGGACTCTGTCATAGCCCAGATCAAGGAGATCGCCGCAATGAATAAGGTGCAGGTGAAAGACCTGACATTAGATATGCTGCCCATCGATGTTGTTAATGTGACGGGGCCCAAGATCATGACAATAGCAATCCTTGACAGCCTGAAGCAGCTGCTGGGTCGGACGGTTGATGATCGCGACTTCCATGGGATCAAGAAACCTAAGCTCATTGGAGATGTCCTTATCATGCCTGGTGTGTCCTTTGCGGCGTCCCAGAATGGATACCCCCAGGATCAAGGAGATGCGCTGGTTACGCATCACTACGCGGGTTCGTGGAAACAGGCCGATGCGGAGGCTAAGGAGAAGAAAAAGCAAAAACAGAACGGGCGGGACGAAGACGTATAGGATATCATAAGCATGGGGTTATTAGGAGCTATTTTCTGGGATTGGCGTTGGCATCGTGGTTCAGCATTCTGTAAAGTTGCATACATCTAATTCACTTTCATCTCTTGGCGACACATTCTGCTCTGTTTGTGTGTTCCTAGTTTGGCTCTGCAATGAGAACAAACTGCCTGTTCATTGATTTTGGATTTATGATCCCATTCTCGCGTTGGTATAGTGGCCGTGAGATACCTAGTAGTTTACAATTCTCATTTCCAGCCTTAGCCCCGGATAATACTATATACAACCGCCATCACCAGTAGTTCTGCTTTGCCAACCAACACTACTAGTACTCATGGTAAATGCAAGATTTACATTTTCGTGTCACCTATGACTAGTAGTACAGTGCTTCTGGCATTCGGTCGTCCATTGGGGAATGTTGGTAGAAGCTGGTCAGAAACATTGATCTTTAAGGTTGATGATAGTGACTTATTTTCGGCTTCCCGTACCCACTTGACTAGCTTTGCGATCATTAGCAACGCATCCAAGCAGTAAACTTCCCAGTACACTATATGATTTAAGCCCGACTAAAAACCAGTACATACGACCATAGGGTGTGGAAAACAGGGCTTCCCGTCCGCTCAGCCGTACTTAAGCCACACGCCGGGAGGTTAGTAGTTGGGTGGGTGACCACCAGCGAATCCCTTCTGTTGTATGTTTTTTCCCCTCCATGTATTTTTTTGGGGGGAGGGGGGGTTCACCTCCTTTGTTAGGTGAATTCCAACAAATAACGTCACCGAGATAGCATACGAAATAACATCTATATTTGGGAGAACGTCACGGTGTAACATCCAGGGCACCACTCAAGTGTTGGACTTCACTACCCGCATAGCTGCCCCAACAATCCGTCTTAAGTCATGTCAATGAAGGGAGCGGCTACCATCCTGGCACCATGTTTGACTCAGTAGTCCATCTACTTGTCATCGGCATTAAAATGCTACGAAATGTTGTATTTGGTTGATGGTCGGCTTTCTATGCATACGTCCATTTTAGAGGGTTTATGCATTTTGCTCTCACAGTGTTTTCATATGAGTACGTGACCCCGAAGTGCATGCCAACTAGTAGAATCGTTTCCAGGGTCATCCCTAGTCATTTACCCATGGTTTCGAAGAGCCCAATGTACGTGCATCCCAGTCCAATGCCGCCGAAGGTTATGTTGGGCGCCATCTGACAACCTACGAAGTGTTAGATAACTATTACGGAGTTGACTAGAGGCTAAGGTTAGTGCTGTCGCGTTAGCGCGATCCAACTCAAACCGGGCGGCGCTTGGACCACTTAACAGTGAATCCTGGCAAAACGATTGAGCCAAACTGCTGCTCGATCGTTAGTCACCGTCCATATTGGCATTGAATAAATCCTTGGAGAAGTCAAGTTTGCGAAAGATTCATTCAAGCGCAAGGGATGTCTTGCCATTTCCGGTTAGTCCGGGGAGAGCTCCAATCATGTGACCTTTGGGTGGGCCGCAGCAATGACATAAGCAAACCAAGATCCACCCAAACTTCCAAATCCAGGGTTCTGAAGCATTCTTCGTCTCCATTCCTTTCTCGTCATTGGGCCTAGAGCTAGTCTCCTCGATCAAATAGCCACTACTGTTCTAGTCTCGGCCCATCAACAATCGCCAGTATGCTACCTGGATTCCTGCAGAGTAGCTACGCTCGCTACAAAGCAGATACCAATACCTTCGCAACATGGCTACTAGAGACTGCCAACCAATGTGGCTATCGGCCTACCCTTTCTGCTACCGTTCCTACGGCGAACAAGAGTAAGCGTAAAGGTAAAACGGATGGCTGAAACGAACAGCCACATACACTGCTACTACCAAAGACCTACAAAAGTTCGCCGAGGTGGTTGCCGGTTCCTCTGACCGTGCCGAAATCAGTCCTCACCATTGCCAAACGCACCATCAAATTGAGGAAAACGGTCACTTCATGGTTCTTGGGTCGTGGCGACACCGCGAACAATAAGCGCCATGCTCGCTTTATCACTGCGCTGGAGCAAATTTGCGACACCCTTCAATGGAATACCGCCCAACCCTCCAAGACAGATGCTAAGCAGCCACAATCAATGCCTGAGGTCCGAGATGACGACGCCGATGCTGACAGATTCTTGAACAAGTTTGCTGCTCTCACGGTGTAGGAACCTGAGGATATCCCAGAGACTCGATCGGCGCCCGCAGCATCGAAGAAGGTTGTCAAGGTCACGGTTGTGGCGGAGGAAAATGAGGCAGCCGACCCCTATCTTGGTCACTTGTTCTTCAAGACCTTGTGTCTACTGCAAGATTTGGACAACATGCGGAAATTTAATTCCATCACCTGGTCGGAGTACCGGGATAAGAAAATCGACCTTATGAACGCCGCTATCGTGACGGACAGTGCCTTGTAACTTGCCCGAGATATGGTGAAGGAGGTAGAGGCTGACTGGCTCTCTACTCGCACGCCGGCAATAAATGATGTTCAGACACTTGTTTACAATCTCGCCGTCATGAGCCGGGGCATCCCCGCAGCTCCATCCACGGAGGTTGGCCTGCCATACAACAAGAACATGGCTGATGTAGCCGATTGGTGCTATGTGCCTACCAAGGTTCTGCTTGACGCCTTTGCCAATGTCCTCCACGACAATCATCAACCAGTCTTCAAAAAGGGCTATTTCGGTACCTATAACCCAAAGGCGAACAGGGAGCGGGTGTCTGTGGGCCAAAAGTTCAACGAAGACAAGATCATCCTTCTTTCGATCTTGCCCGAGTTCTGCATGTTTGACACTTTCAAATTCAGGACGCTTAACTCGGACGCTATCACGCAAGGTCTTGTTGAATTTTCCAAGAACAAAAAAGTTACCCTATGGCTATGCTTTGCCTCCCAGATTTTCCTCGACATCCATCACATCATGCGATACAGTACCCTGGGTGCCTTTGGAGACCTTCGGATGTCAGGACTGCGCATCCAGAAGGTCATTGATGTCTACCTGAAGCTGTCCAAAACACACCCCCAGCCCAAATTTTGGGCAAAGGAGGGCGACGAGGAAATTCAAGGTATTAGTTCTACCGTCGACTCCTGGATCATACAAGACGCATTCCTCAATCTTCGGGTCCTGTCTGGACTCGATAAAACCGGATCACCGCCTGAGAAGCATGCACTTTTATCGCAGCACTCTCTCCTCTGCGGACTGATATTATTCCACCTCAATATTAGAATGCAGCGTGTAGGCCAGCAGCTTGTCACCCAATGGTATGACGTCCAACAGCTGGCTTTCTTGCACAATCTCGTTATCAATTATGCTATGCACAAGGACGTGAGATGGCCCGATATGGATGCTTTCATCAAGATCCATGGCGAGTCTCATATCTTCATTGGTTTGCGGCCCCAGAACGCGGTGAATCGCTAAACAGGCTTGAACTGGCCACAGGCATCTCATCTGCTGCCAATTTTGCGCGCGATTCCCGGAGTAAACCCTTTCATAAACCGGATGGCAAGAATCCACGCTTGCTCAAGCCTACCACTGCAGTTGCGAACTTGTTCTCCCCAAAGTATGTCGAGGGTCTCGCGGAAGATGCCGGGATCGTCAACATTGACCGGATCCTAGACGAGCTCTCACAAAAATCCAAGCTTGAATCCTCGTCCTGCAAGGAGCTCAACAGAGCTAATGCGGAGCTCTCGATTACCCAAAAGTGGTCGAATACCCGCAACATTGACACACTCCACCTTTTGGCCTTCCTGAAGACCAAGCTTTACGAAGAGGAGCCTGTCATCTTGTACAACTACTTCGGCATGCACAAACGTTCCATCGAGCTACTGCGGTTGATCGGAGAGAAAGAGCATGACAAATTTGATCAATATTTTACAGCCGGGTACATGCCTGATGAGTCCTTCATCTCCAACATTGTCCTTCTCATCCACCATGTCGCGCAAGGCTCGGCGCAAAACGCACGTTCAATGGGACTCGGATCAGGGGACGTGGAGTTAGTAAGTCGTATTGTTATGAGCTCTGGCGACGTCATGCGTGAATACCTGAAGAAAAATGGTGACGTGGCATGCAAAGAGCTGAGGGTGTTTTGCAAGAACAAAAAGCCCATTCAAGATGAGGTTGCTGATGATGCGGGCGAATCGGACGGGCTGGTGACGTCTTGGCTGCATCTCGAGGATGTTCTGGGTCCGAAGGGCGTGGCCTCGCTTATGACCGGGATCCCGATGGCCTAGTCTCAGGAACCGTCCAAATGCCGACTACTTGCCAAGAACTTCCGCCCGTCCCCCTTGAAATCTCTGCCTCATTTGTTACCGCCAATAATTATGACTCAAAAACTTTTCATGCCCAGGCTGAGCAAGTATATGACAATGGGCTCCAACAATAATAATGTCTCAAATCCTTTGGCGTACGCCTATTTTTTAGGTGGTGAAGAGTGGGTGACAGGCCATTGTGGAGCCCCCAAAGCTAGAAATCATTAGTTAGATCCTGAACATCGCCCCCAAAAGGCACCGATGCGGCGACTGATCCCACGCCGTGTGATATCATGGTGAACAACTACAACGTACAACGTAGACAAGCATAACTTCGATTTCGAGCAACAGGTTGAGAATACCGACACGATGTCGCCATATTCCTATTTCCATTTGTCATGACTTGGCATTGACTCCAATCACGCAATATCCACAGCCCCACCCACAATACGAATTCTCCTCGTTCATCCCCAACCCCAAATTTTGCCCAAATATCGAGACTTCCTTCTTCTCAGTTATCAGATCAGATCAACCACGTGGCGAGTGCCCTTCTAAAGGTTCCATCACCATGGCCTCACCCCAGCCGACTAACCGCTTCCTGTCGGTGGTCCGGTCGATCCCCTTCCAGATCGCCATTGCCAGTGGTGTTTCCTTTACTGCTCCGGGCATGTGGGATGCCTTGAACAACTTGGGAGCTGGAGGTGCCGCGGAGCCGTATGCTGTCTCAGCTGCGAATGCCCTGCTGTATGGACTGTTCGCCGTGGTTTGTATCGCTGCCGGCGCCATCAACAACCGTATCGGGCTTCGCTATGGCCTGGCGCTGGGCGCCATCGGTTACCCTATCTACGGTGCCGGTCTGTATACGAACAATTATTCGCCGACGACTTGGTTTCTGCTATTTGGAAGTGCTTTGTGTGGTATCTCGGCTGGTTTCTTCTGGGCTGCCGAAGCGGCCATCATTATCGGGTACCCTAGTCCCAAGGACAGAGCATTTTACCTAGGTGAGTAACTGAATTTCTGAATTTGGTCCTGGTCATGCGCATCTGACAGCTTCTCTAGCGATTTGGCAAACCGCCAAAGCTGCAGGCCCTATCGTCGGTGGTGCAATCGAACTGGGCCTTAATGCTCAAAACTCTGGCAAGGGAACCGTCAGTGCAAGCACGTACATCGTCTTCATCGTGCTCATGTGCCTCGGACTTCCTATCGGTCTGTGCCTAAGCCCAGCGGAGAAGGTTCAACGCAAAGACAGAACCTTAGTCGTGGTCCATACGCAAGCCACGTGGATGGCCGAATTCAGAGCCGTCATCTCGCTGCTCTTTACTCGCCGTATTGCCATGCTGATGCCGGCCTTCTTCATCAGCTACTTCTACAACGGCTTCCAGAGCACCTGGCTGACTGACTACTTTACTGTTCGCTCCCGGGCTTTCTCCTCATTCTTCACCAACTTCGCCGGCATCACGTCTTCCTTCCTGATTGCCACCTTGCTGGACAAGCAGTCTATCCACATCAAGACGCGGGCCCGCATAGCGTTCGCCTCACTCATTTTCGTGCTCGTAGGCACCTGGATCTGGGCCACCATCCTGCAGTACCAGTTCTACTACGAATACACTGACCCAGTCTTTGACTGGTTCAAGGGCGGGTTCGGCAAGACATACGCTCTTGTTTTCTTCTGGTCCTTCGGTGGACAGGCTTTCCAACAGTTTCTCTATTGGCTTGTCGGGCAATACACCACCGACCTTTCGTCCCTGTCTCACCACTGCGGTATCCTCCGTGGGTTCGAGGCTCTGGGACAGACTGTTGCCTGGGCGTGAGTCCCATACCTTTCCCGTATCTACGAGAATTATAACCAACTAACTAACGAACCCCCATCTAGTATGCAATCCGAAGGCAACGCCAACCACTTCGTCAGCATCGGTCTCAACTTCGGCATCACCTTGCTCTGCGTGATCCCCACCTGGATCATCATCTCCGAGCTCGAGCATACCCATGAAGTGGAGGTTCGCGCGGAGGATACCGCCAAGACTGTCGATGATGGCGAGGCCGAGCCGCAGACGGCTTGATTTAACTAACTTGTATAATATAATTTTAGCGTTTTCAACAACTTATGCTGCCTTTCAGCGAGGCGTTTGGGGGTTTTAGTCGAGCAGGACTGGACTTGATTCAACAGCATGTCGGATTTCTTATGAAATATTGATGGTGGGTAAAGTGGTAGAAGGGTTTAGATTTGAAGGGGGAGAGGGGTTAAGAATAATTTAATATACTATAATATTGACTAGAGGTGTCAATGCTACGAGTGTTTTGTCCACGCATGCTTGAAGTGCTAATACTAATGAAGGCGTAGAAAGAAGAGGGAAAGATATTGTATCATTTGCCGATGCGAAGGGACTAGCCCACCCGGTGGTGAAAGGACGGACTGCAGACGCAGGTGTCAATGAAACTAAGCGACATATGGAGTCGCAGAGGTAGATGCAACAACTGCTGTTGATGAGACGGGGCTGATCGAGCACGGGCACGCCCCCTCCTTGGGATCAAAGGAGACACCATAGTGGTAAGCAGCGCTGATATTGGTGTTGATGTCGCTCAAGATATCGTCGATCGCTGTGATATTGATGAGTGATCAGAATCTCGTCTAGCCTCCCTCTAAATATACTGTGGAATGAACTGATTGACTTACTGATAGGACTAACACCAACATTATAATCACCAGGACCCTCCTGCGTCTGAAGATACACTTCACCATCCAGCCAATAGTACTCATTATGCCAGGGGTTGTGGCCATTCGTGAACCACACATATCCATCGGTATCGCCACCCGTGCCATTGAAGCAGTTACCACTGGGGTCGTTGCAGTAAGGGGCAGGAGAGTTATCGCCCATCTGGTATCCGCCGCCGCCGGCAACAGGGAGCCAAGTTCCGTTGGGTTTCATGATGATGTCGGCTGCTGAACCGGAGTGTCTAAAAAGCGAAGAGCCGAGCTTAGTATAGTGTAATTGACAGTTAGGAGGTATTGCCAGTTGTTGAACTCACTTCCAGTACTCAATCTCCCACCGAAGGCGCAAGTAGCCGGTACCGCGAAGAGTAACGTTGTTCGAACTGTAGAAAAGCTCCCATTGTCCACCTATTAGGGGTGAGTGTGGGTTAGTTGACGGACTTGCTCCGTTAAAGGGTCTATGAAGAATACCTAGGAAGCCGGGCTGAAAGGGGACATAGTTGCCCGACACATATTCCACTCCAGTGTTGGTTCGATTGGTGATGGGTGTAACTGCTGCGCTACCACATGCGAACGCTGTAGCTGCACCGGAGAGTATAGTAGACCATTTCATGATGCTAAATGGGAATTCAGAAAGGTGTTCCTGGGGCACGTGAGTGTACTTGGTAAACAAGTCGGAAACAGGCAAAAATTGAGTTCAACTTCTTCTGTTGGGGACTGAGCTTCCAGTTATATTATATCGGAATACTAGTAGTCACTCCTGATTGAGGTCCACTCCCCGTTAAGCTTTAGATTCCGCTCGCAAAGGAGAATCTGTCACGCAGATAGACTGAGGATTACGGGGAAAGATCGGCGGCCTGATTACGTATCTAAGCATCCTTCCCGCGCGTTATGGGCCCTTATACTGGCTGTGCAGCCGTCTTCGGATCTCCTAGGAGTGGGTCGAACAGACGGAGTGTTTCAAGGGTCTAAGCGAGTCAACGACCGGGATGTGAACTGATAGATAGGATACGGAAGGATAGGAGACCCTGATCATCGTCCATTTAGCCCTGGTTAGCTCCAGCTTCATCAGTTATCTGATCCAGGTTCTTGTATCTGTTGACTATATAAGGAGGGATTCTGAATTGATAGTAGTCTTTATGATTGGATCGATGTTAAACCCGCGGCTTCGTCTTCGCGGTCGGTGGGCCATGTCTGTCGGCTAAACCAAGCTGAGATACCAACACCGTGTACATGCTCGGCACAGCTTTCTGTGGAGAAATAATAGGGGGGAAGCCTTTGGTAGTTAAAGTAGGCTAGGTTGCTACTTGATCATGCCATCGTTTAAACCTCGTTATAATGACATATAAGAAATGACCGTACCACTGTATGGCTATTCACATCTCGCTCACTTCTATCTCGCTTTCACGTCACCCCTGCTTCAATTGGCAGTGACCAACATTTCTTTAGTCTCTCTTTATTTAACATATTTCAACCAGACTAATCATTAAAGCGGGCGGACACTAAAAACAACTAAAATGGATCGTCAGGAGGCATTTGAATCTCCATCTTCCGTATCAGAGCGAGTAAGAGGACCTATTGGAGTTCACCGCTACATGTTTCATATTTAACAAAGATGCGAGATGCAGTGCTACAATAGTGCATTCTATAGTAGATAAATATTTCGTGGCTGCTGATACTGGAAACCTATGAAGTATCAGATGTATATTTCGTCTGCCATGAGATAGATTGGGATTAAGGAAGCTAGCAAGCACACAGTGGACAGGAAGGCCAAACAATATATTTACCATAAAAGAACCGGTTTGATGGTCTTCCCACTCTTCATGTCGCTTATCGCTGTCCTGTAGTCCTGTGCTTGATAAAAGCCCACCATCTCATGCAATGGTAGTAGTCTCGTCTTGACCCACTCAATCATCTTAGGCACAAACTCTCGAGGAATTACGTCTCCCTCCACTACCCCAATATATTGCTTTCCAGCGACCATGAACTCATGAACTGGAAGACTAAGCACCGCGTTTTCTGGTGCTGTTCCAAGCTGAACAACCCTCCCCTTGTTAGCTGTCATGCGAATGCCCTCGGCGATCAATTTCGGCACCCCTGTAGTCTCCAACGTCACGTCTGCACCTAGACCATCAGTAAGGGCACGAACCGCCTCTGTTACATGATGTTCATCAGCATTCGGATCGATTCGAACAACATGCGTTGCCCCAAGTGCCAGCGCCAACTCAAGACGGGCCTGATTTCGCGCCACACCGATGATTGTCCTGCAACCAGCGATACGCGCTCCCATCACCGCACTCAACCCAACACCTCCCAACCCGAGAACAGCTACAGTATCCCCGGGCTGTGCGTTTGCTGCCTTGATGACCGCACCTGCACCTGTCTGGACGCCACATCCCAATGGTGCCAGCAGCTGAAGGTCCTCCCTTCCCTCCACCAGCCCGGAGACATTCACCACCGATTCTTCCTGCACTAGTGTACAGCTAGCAAAGCTCGATTGGCCGAAGAACTGTCCGAAGATGTTCGGCTCCGTAGAGACTGTTGACAAGTCCGCATCAGCGTCCCAGAAGACGCGGTTTGCTTGAGTGGACTCGAAATTAATAGGATCGAAATTCTGACAGTGTGCAGGATGACCTCGACGACAGCATTGGCAGGTCTGACATGCGGAGAATGATAAGAGCACTGGGTCGCCGACTCGGGCTGCGGTGACTTTGGGCCCGACCTGACGAACATATCCGGCACCTATAGAGCGGTGATTCATCAGATTGTCAGGTTCTTTTGGAAACCTATTAGCTTAAAGGAAGTGAGTAATTACCTTCGTGACCCATCACTCGCGGATAATGTACACCATGGCCACTCTCCAAACCAGCAAAATGCAGATCAGTCTGGCAGACACCTGAGGCAACAACTTCAACAAGCAGTTCGTTCTCTCGCAGGGGTCGTAGGGAAACGTTCTGAAGCTTCCAACCGCCGGCATGGTAGGGGCCGTGAGAGACTAGGGCGCGTCCGGTGATTTGCTGTGTGTCTGCCATGGTGTTACGAACAATCTTTTCTGATGGTCTACATGTTCGGTAGCCGTGGGCTTATGTACACATGAATTGTTAGAGTCGTTGCTTGCCGAATTCAAGGCCCGGAACGAGTGCATGCTGTGCAAATTCCGGTCGGCATGCCGAGATGGGGTCAGATATCTTTCGATTGATCCGGATTTCCGTCTTCGAACCCCCGAGTGGGTCCATTTGCGAGATAAGACTGGTACGGATATAAACTTATTTTTAAGCTATGCTTACGGATGTTTCATAGGTTTAGAGGTCGCGGTGCTCTGCTAGAGAAGAGGCCAGGAGGAGAGCCCGAACATTCATTTATTTTCTGCAACAGCCGACTACCTATGCCGCACGGAAGTAATAAGACCAGAGTAAAAACCCATGATATCGGAAAGCATGAGTAATTTCTGCCTAAGGCATCACATGTCTTGTTTAGGCAGCGAATTCAGAGAAGGATATCACGGGGTCACTATAATCCTCAGAGAAAATGTAATGTAACTCCCGGCCGCGCCGGCCACCCGCCCGCACCAGCTATCTATCTACTACATATCTATCTACTATACACTTATCTACTATATACCCACCTACTACATACCTAACGCAAGTAAGAATAAAGCTATTCAAACAACATTATTATTAGTAAAGTCTATATATTATTACTTATTACGGAGGTTTGAATACTGATTTCTTCTGTAATTAATTATATAATATTTACTGTAGTAGAAAGATATCTGAGTAAATAATTAAAATATTATTTTCTTTATCTAGATCTTTTTTAATTATTATAATTTAATTCTTGCTTTCTGGATTAAAATATATTTTTTAAAAATTATCTACTGCTTTGATTGTTTTTTCTTTTAAAATTATTTTTTATATATAATATATAGATCCCGGTTCTTCTTTATTAAAATTACTATATTATTTATTACTAACTTGCAGTCTTTGATAATTTAATTTATAAATATTTTTATAGATAAAGATAGATTTCTAGTATATTTATTAAAAATCTCTATAAATATAGATTTATACTTTTAAAGTTATTATATATTATAAAAAGTTTAGAATACTGAACCAGTTATCTAGCTAGTTAAAATAATTAATATTTATAATTAAATTTCCAGCTCTTCAAGTACTTAGTCAGGATCTAAAAAAATAAAACTAATAACTTTAAAATTACTGATTATATTATACTTATTTTAAATATTAGATTATATTTAAAAATAATATTCGAGAAAGTCCAGCTTGTTAATATAATTAAATCTAAAATATATTTTATTTTTAATTAGATAATTATATATATTTAAAGGGACTAAAACAGCTGATATTAAAAAATTAATTAAATAAAATAAATACAGAAATATATAAATAAGTATAATATTATTTTATATATAAAAATTATTAAATTCAGGAGTTGGATAATTTCTATAATTATTTAAAATAAATAATTAAAATTAACTAGCAGAGGATACAATTAATAAAATAAAATATATTTTAAATTATTATAAATTAATAAAATTAGTAGTTTAATTATTATTATTAATTTTAATTTTTAATCTGCAGGTAGATTGGTATTTTAAAATTATATTTATAAATATATTTTATTTTTAAAAATTAGAATTAGAAATAAAGCTGATCTAAAGATTTAGATATATTTAATTAAAATTATTTATTTCTGATTTTCTGATTATATGAGTAATAGCTTACTTTTAATTTTATATTTAATAATAATTTATAAAGTTTTAATAATATTTATTATAAATTTTATTTTATTAAAATTATAGATATTATCTAATTAGATCCTGTATTAGAGAATTATTATTCAAATAAAATTAAATTATTTTTATATTATTTTAGAATTCTTATATTTAATTTATTAATAATTATAGCGTCTTGTAAACCTCTACTTTAATTAATTATATTATTTAATAGAATAAAAAATTTAATTTTAATTAATACTTTAGAGTTTGGAACTACTTCTTTTAGAAAATAAAATATTAATTATATTTTATATTTAAAAGGGTCGGGGAGGTACTTTATATTAATTTAATAATAAAATTTATTATATAAAAACTCCTCCGGTGCAGCCTGGCTGCTTTTGCAGCTTTTCTTTCTGGTAGGATATAGGCTCTGTCTTATTAAGCTGACCATGGTCTCCTTGGTGGGTAGTTTTAGTCTAACAGGGTAACTATGCTTCCAAAAGTGGTAGAGTACTCTAGCTGTTATTATAATAAAAAAACTTACTATTATTATTCTTTTTTTTATTTATTTAGTAGTATTACTTCCCGCCGCTGATCTGGTCTAGAATTATTAATTTTCTATATATTATATAAGTTTATCAGCCATAAAAACTGTTTATGATAATTTATTTAAATATTTATAATATTATTAGAATATTTATCTAACAGATAAAATTAAGATTTAGAAACTTTTAAAGATCCTGATTCTGGCTAGAATAATTAATTAAATTATAATTAGATAATAGAGTTTTCTAGTAAATTAAATATTTTTTTTATTATTATTATAATAAAGAATAACCTCAATAACCAGCTATATATATTTAAAGTATTGGCTG